ACCATTGACTACAGACAACTCAACAACCAGGTTCCCTTGTCTAGGTGGCCGATGGCCTGCTTGGAACAAGAACTCCCGAAAGCGAAAGACGCTAAATACTTCTCCACCCTTGACATTGCATCTGGATTCTGGACAATTCCTGACCATAAATCTGACCAATATAAACTAGCATTTTCCTTTGCTAACTGCCAGTACACCTTCACTCGGTGTCCCTTTGGTTACTCCAACTCACCAGCTGAGTTCAACATCTTCTTGGACAAAGCCTGCCCTGATGCTCGAGAGTGAGGTATCCTCATCTATGTTGACGACATTCTTGTTCGTAAGCATACCTTGGATGACCACCTGTCCGAGCTGGACCACATCATGGGTCAACTCGCCGCTGCTCGTGCAAAGATTTTTCTCGCCAAAGGTCAGTGGTGGAGATCAAAGGTTCAGTTTGTTGGCCTCCTTGTGGGACCACAGGGAGTGCAGCCTCAACTTGGTAGAATTCAAGGTGTGGACACCATCACACCTCCTACGAATGTCTCAGAACTTTGGAGTTTTCTAGGTGTGTGCAACTACTTGCGCTAGTTCGTAGAACACTACGCTGAGATAGCGAGACCTCTGATTAACCTACTGAAGAAGGGTGTGCCTTTCAAGTGGAATGAGGAGCAGCAACAGGCCATGGATGATCTGAAGGCCGCGTTATGCTCAGCTCCGTGCTTGGCGCTCCCCGATTGTGACAAGGAGTTCCACTTTGAGGTCGGTTTTTCATCTCACTGTTTGAGTGCCAGTCTCTACCAAGTATATGACTGTGACAGGCGTGTCGTAGCCTATGCTAGTAAGCTCTTGTCCGGTCCTGAGTTAAAGTACACTGGCTGTGAAAAGCTTTTTTTTCCACCATGTGGGTGGTTAAACACTTTTCTAGTTACATCGGTGGACAGAAAATCATCATTGAAACTCAGCATCAGCCAGTGACCTTCCTTAACAGTCAGCGCCTCAGAGAAGGTGTGGTGACCAACGTGCGCATCACGTCATGGCTGCTGGCTCTTCAAAGCTTCGACATTGAAGTACGCTATGCCCAGAACCGCCATAGCCCTCTTGGCATTGGTTTGGCTATGTGCCAACACTGCTCGGACGACGCCGTCACGTCAGTCCTGCCAGCTAGCCCTCCTCAGACTCTTCTAAACCCCAACCACCACTACTTCGACCAGTCTCTCTGTGTGGACTTGCCGACTGTGGACATCGATGGCAGTTCTTTTCAACATGGTGATGCGCCTAGGTTGCACGTTGACCAGAAGGACTCCCAGTGTTACTGGTTGGGTCCTAAGACCTCACAGTTTGCAGAAGTGGCTGGGATCTTGATAGTACTACAACTTGCTGTGGACGGTGGAGTCCGTGAGCTGGTGATTTGCACCAACTCGGACTACACGCGCCTCAGTTTCATTTGTCATCTACCCTCTTGGAAGACTAACGGGTTCCTGACCTCAAACCGGAAGCCCGTTAAACATCAGGACCTCTTCATGGCTTGTGACGCCCTAGCGATGTCACATGACATGCACATCTATTGGCGTAAAGTCAAAGGACATTCTCGTGCACCCAGAACTGATAAGGATCTGAACGACCTTGCAGACTCTCTTGCCAAACAAGGTGCGGCCGATGGTACCCCATGGGTCTTCAATCCCTTGTGGCTCCCTGAGGATGTGTCTTGTCGGTCTGACCCATCCCGTGTGTGTGTCGTGACTCGAGCTCAGGCCGCTAACGCGTCCACCTCCAAACCATCCGAGAGTGTTGTGTCCGTTCAACCTGTCTTTTCTGGTAACGATCTTGTCAGTCTTCAGTCCCAGGACCCTGCTGTAAGCAGGATGATCCTGTACCTTTCTGATCCTACAACTCATCTGCCTTCTTCCATCGAGCTTGAATCCGTTCCTGAGCTCCGTGCTCTCTTTCATGTTCGTGTCATGCTGAGAATGGTTGAAGGGTTGCTGAAGCATGCCTCCAAGCCTCCTTTGCCACCTGTCCTTGTGGCGCCACAGTCACTAATGGGGGGCATGATCACGCAAGCTCATGTCTCTCCCTCCGCTGGACACAAAGGTGTCAAGGCCACGTTCGGTGCCCTGAGCCAGTTAGCCGGGGATGCTTCGCAATGTCTCAGACTACATCCAGCGTTGTTTGGTTTGTTGTCAGTTTCAGCCATCCAACCCCGCACACAGAGCTACCCTACAGTGGCGTGCCGCTTCAGGGACGCATCTGAAAATTGCTGTGCCGCAGCTGGTTTGAATCCCCCCATAGACTCCAATGGATTCCGCGCGGCTGATGCCTCCAGTGTGCAGTAGGTTTAAGTGTAAAGAGTTGGTCCAGTGTTCCATGGCCAGGACAAAAAACCAGATTGTTCCTCCTGAATCCAAGGTTCGACTCTCCGACGGACCCTCCTCTCCAGAAACCCTGAATAGACCTTACAAGGGAGGCTCAGGAGTGTGCTCCCCTGTAATTGGAACGCAACCTGTGGTCCCCTTTTAAAATAAGGTGACCACCACTCCTGTCAATCCATTAGAACTGCCCCTGATGTCCATAACATATTGCTGAGCCACGTCAACCAACACAGCCCCACAACATCCAGGGCCTTAAGGAACTCCTGCCTGATCTCATCCACCCTTGGGGCCTTGCCACTGAGGAGCTTTTTGACCATCTCAGTGACCTTGGCACCAGAGATTGATTAGAAATGTAAGAAAGAAAAATAACAGCATTTTGTGTCTTTGTCACTGTAGAAAACTTCATAAATTAAAAGCAAGAAGTTATTTTATATAAAAATAAATAATTATGACAAAAACAAATGTGTCAGAATCCATTTAAAACTAAAAAAGCTTCAGAGATCCTGGAGGAATATGGCTCAAAATATTTCCAAGAATCTTAGACGTAAGGCATGCGAGGGATGACTCAAGACTTTTGCACTGCACCTATTAACATATTTAACGTCCTAATCTATTCAACAGATTATACAGTGGTAAGTGGCTTATACATCTATTGATTTATTCAGCCAATTATTGTGCACTCATCTGTAAAAGGTCACAGCTGAACAGATATGACTAAGATATTTGTGAGCCGTCATGAAGCAGCTGACAGGGAAGGAACATCTCCACACAGCAGCTGTGTGTACAGATACACGATAAATAAATGTATGCTGCATGTTTTAGTTAACATTCCACATGAGACATAACCAGGGACACATCCGAGTTCCGAGCCAACTGAGTACAGCTCTACTTGTTCAACAGAAATGTGCACTGTTGTTTTTATTATTTTATTTGCCAGTAACAGCTTTTAATTATGAAGCAATCCTACTCTTCATTTTGTTTGCAGTTGTAGTTTCCATATGGATTGCATTTGGTGCATTTCTCTCTAGAAACAATACTCTGGCAGCATAATTATCATCCTTAGGGGACATTGTTGTCTCACACTGCAGGAATTAGAGCCAAAATCTTTGAGAACAATAACGCAGCGCTTCTGTCCCGTTCATCAATATAATGTGCACCAGCGGAGGAGTCTGCATAGTATTTGTCAACTTAAAGCAACACAAAATCGTTTTTAACACTTTAAGCTATTGCTTTTAAACTGGTTTCAGTGGTTGTTGAGCCAGAAACTTGAGCAACTTCACATTAGTCGGCACTATTTAGCCATCTGGTGACCAGAAACTTCACTTAAAGACCAAGTTCACTGGCTGTTATTTTTTAAATATGATCGGTCACTTTGAGATCAAAATGCAGGCTAAATGTGAAAATGGTCCTCTGACCCCATTTCCTGCATTAGCAGCCGTTAAACAGTAGACGGGGAAACGCTCAGATTAGTAGAGCCACTCAGATCTACATCACACTGAAAATTGGCATTCATTGACTCACCCATCTTGGTTCACGACAGGGAATGCTGTTGTTAGCATCCAGAGAGCTGAGTGCATCTTGGATAGTAGAAGCTAACCATTGGCATTAGCAACTCCACAACACAGCAGAACTCTTTCAGGCTTGTGTTATTTGTGGAGATAAAACATAAGCGCTGCAAAGCCAGCGTTGTCAGTGGTAGAGTCATGTTGCTGTTAACCAATCAGAGGGGAGATGTACAAATAAATATCAGCAAAGCCTGTGGTGTTCTGCCCCCCTATGCTCCAGCTAACTTCTACCTCCTGAATCAGGAACACCAAAGCTTTTTTCCCCCCACAGAGCTCACAAGGCATTCATTCATACAAGAGACCACAGAAAATTTATTGAAAAAAATTAATAAATTAACAGTGAACCTGGGCTTTAACAGCTTTATGGGAAGGCTCTACTTTACAGCAACAGCTGTTTGCTATGCCGGTATTAGCTAATACACTTGCTGCTCGATCAAAGTACAAAAAGTAAGAGAAGCTTGCTTTTTTTGTTGGCATCGGCGGAACCTGGGAGTAAAAGTCCGAAAGTTATGTGTTTGGAGGTGAAGCATCGCCGTGGCCTACGCTAGTTAGAGCTAAATGAGTCAGGGACAGCAGTAGCTCAGGAAGTAGAGCGGGTTGTCCAGTAATTGGAAGGTTGCAGGTTCAATCCTGGCTCCGACCAGAGAATGCTGCTGTTGTGTCCTTGGGCAAGACACTTGGGTTGAAGGGACCGGTGGCGCTCATCGCCACCAGTGTGTGAATGTGTGTGTGAGTGATTGTGTTGTGAAGCATCTTGGGTGGTTTGTAGAACCTTCAGAAAGCACTATACAAGTATACCATAAAGGAGGCTACTAAATCACGAACAGATGGTGGCCTGGCTTTTTTGCTACTGGACTTGTAAGTAATAAAGTTTTTTCCAACAGTGTGGATCTTTTTATTCTGTGGCTTATTTATTAACAATTGCCTTGTGTTAGCATTAGTGCTAGCAACAGCAGACTGTGACAGGGTTGTTTATGAATGTTGTAATTCTGATTTCAACCAGTAGTAGGATGAAGCTGAACACTTACTAAATGTTACTTTAATAGAAATAGCTTTGCATTTGTTCGTGTGAAGCACAGCTCACCTTTGAAGCAGCATCAAAGCACACAAACCCCATGCTGAAGTCAACTGTGAGTCCCATTAGGTGGCTCTCCATGATGCAGGCATACGTTTTGCACTGCAGAATAAAAATAAAAAATAAAAAATGAGACAGCGTTCACAAATCTTACATCATTAAAAGTTACCCATCTGCAGCAGCTCAGACCTGGATCCTCTCCACCTCCAGAAATGTGGCCATCTGAAAAGCCTTTTCCCAAATCAGCAGCTCGCACTCCAGCTCCACGCTGAAGAACATGTCCTCCCCGGTCTCGGTCTGAACGCTGAAGCAGTGCCGCCTTTTGTCCAGAAGATCGCTGTCCTAAGATAACACAGAACAGCAATCCTGATGTGTGCCATCGATACCTTGCAGGTTTCTGTGACCTAAATTGCAACACAAGGTCAGACTTTCTGATTGCATTTGCAAATCTTTACAAATCAAGTTCACAAAAAGGAAGTTTTTAGAAAATTGAAAGCAGATGAAGTCTCATTATCAAAATCAAAGTGACCTTGAACCCACAGAGAATAAGAACGAGCAGCAGCGAGTCCCTCAGTGGGAAAGCAGAAATGTACTGTCATGCTAATGTACTGTATAAGTGAGTCATATATCAGTGCATTCGAATGATTCTTGTTGCTACTTTATATTCTCTCAGAGTTTCCAGCATAAGATACGCTTCCCTAAATGCTCGGGAATTGGATGCAAAAAAGAAAAAATGAATAAAAAAGACTCAGATACCTTTAAAATCTTGCACATTATTTCATACACAGTAAAGCTTTTCTCCGCTCTGGTCCAGTCCCATGTTGTCACCTGAAAATGTCACATAAATTCATGTTTGATTTGAGGAAAGTCTCTGAGGAAAGAGAAGCAACGGTGCTGATAACATTCATTTTTGAACAAAGAGGCTTATGTGGGAAAACTTTGGAATAAAATCACTCAAATTAGGAAACCCAATTCATTTACTGACTTCATTATAAGTGTTCTGCCATGTGACGGGAAATATTCATCACACAGATAACTAGTTTGGAGTAATGAAGAAACTGATCTTGATGTGTAGGCTTTTTTGTTCCTCCATCCACTCTCATTAGCATATCCCATCTACATTAGCTCATTTGCACAGAGCGGGCAATTTCTGTTATCTATCAATCTCTTCCCATCTGCAGTAGCATTGACAGCTTATCCCTCTCGTCATAACAGCCCAAATGGCGGGCGGAATGTAAACACATTAAATGATCAGCATCAATCAAGAGGAAGATCAATGCACCACAAACGATTATGAGTGAGCTGCTTCCGACTTCTTATTTGTTCTCTCAACACAACATTAGCACTGAGTGAAGCATCCCCACAGAGCAGAATCGCAGGGGTTTGATGTCAAGTACAAAGTTCACATGAGACAGAGTAGAAGGCGTGAAGACTTACAGGAGGTGCTGTGAACTTGAAGAGCGAGGAACCTCTCAGAGCGAGGAACTTTGGTGAGTACATCCGGTCCTGGACAGAGTCCTGCTCCTTCTCGTCCACCCAGCCCATGTACATAATCTACCGACGAAACACACAAAGGACAAGGCAGATGTCAGCTTCTTCTGTATAGTCTTGTTTTACTTTGAAAGCAAAATTACTTCAGATCTCTTGCAATACAAACTCTTGCTAATTCCCACCAGCATATTTAAATCTAAAAATTACATATTTTTGTTTATTGCATTTGATCACAAGGTATCAAAGACTGTTTTTGCATAATATTGTGTTACATAACAAGGGCTGAAGATGACAAAGTCAGAAAGCAAGCAGAAATGCTGATTTCTGAAAGGTGCACATAGTAAGATTGACATCTTGTGGTCAAATTTGGAGTCCATGTATAAAAAGTGGTTGCCAGTTACGGATCAGCGTCAGAAGATTCTAGATTACGAGCAAAGACGAGTCAAACACAGTAAGTCTATAAGTAGATAAATACATGTCAGTGTATTGAGTTGTTGGAAATTGAAAACTTAGCTTGAGATTTTCTAAAGCCGACTAGTCTGTCCTAAATTGATTGACTCTGGAACCAGGAAGTATGGAGATGGTACAGATTATAAACAAAGGCCCTGTCAATACTCGCACTTCCACCCTTACGCATTCCCATCGCGTAGGGTGTCCCAATTCTCCAGAGTGAACCTTGGCCCCGCCCCTTTGAGCACCCTTGCTCAGCACTTTGAGCAGACTTAAGCAAAGGGTATTGCCAAAAGTAAGACCAATGCCTCAGCTTAAGGTTATAAAAAGGTTTAAACCAATAAAGTGTGTATTTCACATATATGACTTTTGCAGTTAAATAATCTGAATAATAGGTTTGGAAAATTTGAATGAAAAATTTGTAAAACTCAAAAAAACTGTTGACAGCAGCACATAATTTCAACCGCAAACCATACAATATGAATCTTATAATGCAATTTAATAGGGAAGTTGCATTTTTAATATAATTTCACGCAACAGAGACACAACACAGTGGTGCAGCTTGATGATGCAGTCCTCACTGTTCCAAGTCTGCAATTACTTGCAAACTTATTTACGACATAATCAAAACCTGGCAACCCCCCCCCCCCCCCCCCCCCCCCCAGTGGACTGAGAAGGAAACCTGCAAGAAGCTTTTATATATGGCTGTGTCTTGTTGGGCAAATGCTAAATTCTGGCATGTTTTTATCACAATTCAGTCACAAAAATACTCCTAAATGATGCTTTATTTGTTCAAAATTTCTCCTCACTTTACTCGCAATTTAGGCATCATTCATTCCCAAAGTGTTTCACATTTCTTAGAGCTTTGGACACAAAAAAAGTAGCTCTGACAGGTTTGAGAGAAGTTCCAAGTGTGGACATTATAGTGTTCTGAAAAGATTGACACAGAGATCACAGCACATTATATCTCATACAGACTGAGCAGATCAAATATTCTCAGTATTGTTTCTGTGGTCAGAAACATCTATACAACAATCTGTTTTTAAATGTATTTATTTTCCATGCTGTGAATGTCACCTTAGTCTCCTTGTAATGAGTCTATCCCAAAAAAGGGTCAGCACATCAGTCAAAAAGTGAAACTCTTCAGTAATCCAATGCAGTAAAAACGTATTTAATTTTTTTCTTAATTATCCAATTTTGTCCCAAATTATCCAGGAAAATTACAGTTAACTTTTGCTTTCTTAAAGAGAACAAAAGTCCACTTTACAAAGACAAAATGATCATTTTAACTGACAGCAGAAGAAAAACAAGCATTATTGGGTCAACAAAATAAAGTGAGATGGTATTTACAAGTTAGTTTTATGCAGCTTGGACTTCAGACAGATTTATTCTTCAAATGTATGTTTTTCTTCTTAACTCATGCAGGCATCTCTAATTTAAGAGATTATCTGGACGTGAGTGTTTCCACCTTTTATCCTTGCTGCAGCTTCTATGTTTCACATCTAATATATGCAACATTTTCTTTCCAAAACATGACAAATTATTTATTTTTTCTAAACTGAACAGTTTTTATGATTTATGGCTTGTTGAAAAGAAATTGTCAAAACAGTTTAACTTTGAACTCTGGCAAGTCTGACTATTCATTATTGCCTTTTTGAACTTCCTTTATGCATTTTAGAGTGCGTGCAACTCTGAAAAAATGAAAAAACACTTACAGATAAATATTGATAATGCAACCCTGAGAGTACAAATGCTTGCTCGCATTTAATTGCATCTGCTAAAACATTCTGCACCAGTCAATTCATTGGCTAGTTCCTTGTTAACACAGATCTCAAAAAGAACTTCTGGTGTTTTAAACCTCATCATCCTCACTTGTTTGCACACCAATCACGATGTTCTTTTTGTATTTTCTGCATCCTGAAGTTGTTGTTTTGTCTCATGAGTCTCAGTGTGATTCCCTTCAACTGGCTGTCACTGCTCCAGTCTGAATTAGTCCTGGAGACTGCCGTTGTTTATTTGCAGCTCCTGAAGGAGCTAAAACTCCCCAAACTCTAAGGATAATGTGAACCCACACCCTCTTAGCTGCTACTTGTCTCTTCATCCTCCTCCTCCTCCTCCATGTCCTCCTCCTAGATGGTAAATGTAATGCCAGGGCTTTCATCTGACAGCTTGACAGATGCATTCAAGTCTGCAGCTGGGAAAAACTAGCTCCATCCAGGATGTCTTTTTGGTCTCCCAGCAACCAGCCACCAAACTCGGGCGCCCGTCTTCCCAGCTCTGACCCCGACACCCACAGAGAGTAGTGCATTAGATCAGCATGATATTTCCATAAGATCCAGATATGCAAGTTAATATATTTATAACAAGCTGAGTCTGTAAAAAAATATTCTAAAGCCAAAATGAGTTATTTGTTTCAAAGCTGCACAAAAACAGCAAGACGCAAATTTCATTGTACACACACACACACACACACACACACACACACACACACACACACAGAGAGAGAGAGAGAGAGAGAGAGAGAGAGAGAGAGAGAGAGAGAGAGAGAGAGAGAGAGAGAGAGAGAGAGAGAGAGAGAGAGAGAGAGAGAGAGAGAGAGAGAGAGAGAGAGAGAGAGAGAGAGAGAGAGAGAGAGAGAGAGAGAGCGAGCGAGAGAGAGAGAGAGGCCACTTTATTGGATACATCTGTTAAAACTGCTCTTTAAAGCAAATTACTAACTAGCCAATGGTGGCAACATTTAGGCATGTTGATATGGCCAATATGATTCGCTGCAGTTCAAACCGAGCTACAGAATGAGAGAGAAAGGTGATTTAAGTGACTTTGAACGTGGCATGGTTGTTGATGACAGACAGGCTGGTCTGAGTATTTCAGAAACTGATGATCTGGGATTGTCACACACAACCATCTCTAGGGTTTACAGAGAATGGTCTGAGAAAGGAAAACATCATTGTGCGGCAGTTAGGGTTGGGCATCGTTTCACTTTGAACGATTCTGATTCCAATTCCTCGTTTCGATTCCGGTTCCTATCGATTGCTGATTCTGATTATTTCAAGACATGACATGTTTTACATGAGACAGCTAACCACAGGTCCTACTTGATGAAATAATCTTAACTTCATCATGAATTTTAATTCTATGAACAATAATGTCACCTTCATTTAGACAAAAACATGTTTTGGAGAAAAAAAGACTTGCAGCACAATCAGCATGTTTGTTTCTGACCACAACCAAAGTCTGGAAGAAGCCTCTGGGATGAGAGGCTAAATGTCTCCAACATATCCAGAAACGTCCAGCTGTTTTCAGCTAAAACTCTCAGGATGATCATGTCCAGGATGACTGAGAACTACACCTCCATGCTTCAGCAGCATTCAGTCAGAACAGAAAGTGAAACTTAAAGTAGCTGCTGTCAGTAACAACCTAACAGATTTTAAACATTAAAACTCTCAACCGAAATGTGTTTATTTTTTTTATTTTTTTATTCATTTAGGAGACGCTTTTATCCAAAGCGACTTACAATTTATAACCTATAGGGCATGTTGTGATCTGTGGGAGAAACCCGGAGTACCCGGAGGAAACCCACGCGTGCATGGGGAGAACACGCAACTCCATGCAGAAATGCCGCAGCCGAGCCGAGTTTCGAACCTGCAACCTTTGTGCTGTGAGGTAACAGTGCTAACCACTGCACCACCATGCAGCCCACCATGCAGAAATAGTTCAAAAAGGAAATTAAAATGTTTACAGCTTTGTGTGTGATTTATTATTATTATAATTATTTATTGTGGCAGAAGCTGGTGTGGTCCGCCACAGAGAAGCTTCTCTAGCATGATGACTTTAATTATTCTACAGGTTATTGTTCAGCCTTCTGACGCTCACGTGTCTGACTGCTGGCGCTCCGTGTGCATTTTTCTATCTGTAGTGAGACAAACTCACCTCACACCATCCAGAGTTTGTTCTTTAAAGCTTCTATAAAATCCACCATGTTGACGTCTTTTAACAAGTTTCCTCTACGCTGCAGGAGTTAAAGTTTACATTACTCACTAAAAGTTCGGCAGACGCGTTTGTTTAGATTTGGCCGCTGCGCGCCGGTTGGGGGGAGGGGGTACTCGGTGCTGCAGACAGACAGCTGGTGTGATCAGCTCTGAAAAGCTTTGATCACAATTTGCAGATGACGTTTAATTTTCATGAGATCGGCTGCGGACTCCTCTTCCATCGGCACACTAGGAATCGAAACTAGGAATCGAAATAAAAAAACATTGAGCGATTCCGGGAAAAATGAACGGTTGGAACCGGTTCCAATCGATGCTCGATTCTCGATGCCCAACCCTAGGCCAGTGCTGTGGGTGAAAATGCCTTGTTTGATGACAGAGGTCAGAGGGGAATGGCCAGACTGGTTCGAGCTGATAGGAAGGTAAAATTAACTCAAATATCCATTCGTTACAACCAAGGTATGCAGAAGAGCATCTCTGAATGCTCAACACATTGAATCTTGAGGCAGATGGGCTACAGCAGCAGAAGGCTAAACCCTAACCGTACCCCCCACTCTGGGTGCCACTCCTGTCAGCTAAGAACAAGAAACAGATGCTACAATTCACACAGGCTCACTGAAGTTGGACAATAGAAGATTGGAAAAATGTTGCCTGGTCTGATGAATCTGGATCTCTACTGCAACCTTTGGATGGTAGGGCAGACTTTGGCATCAGCAACACGAAAGCATGGATCCATCTTGCCTTGCATCAACGGTTCAGGATGCTGGTGGTGGTGTAATGGTGTGGGGGACATTATCTTGGTGCACTTTGGGCCCCTAAGTACTAACTGATCATTGTTGCAACACAACGCAAAGCCAGACAAGAACCCACTAGAGGTTGGCTGCAGTACAGAGAGTTCTGCTGTTGTGCCATTTATCATTTGTCATTTAATAGTTTTAAGCCCCCCCCCTCCTCCATGTAAACAAACTGGATGACTTAAAAAACACACCTTAGATTTCTGGATTATATTTTTTAAATCTAACTCTGATTAACTGCTGTGATAATTTTCTAAATATTTAGTACTTGAATGTGAAAATACATCTGTACAGACTTCTTTATCAGGACATAAATGATTTTGTTCAGTTTTTTTCTGCTGAGCTAAAATTAGACCAACACAAAAAAGTCAAATGCTCTGATCTTTAAAGACTGATTGCAGCTGTTCACTCTCAAGGTTTTCTTGATGGATTTGTAAAACGCGTGAAAGACTCAGGAGCAGCCATTTAATTCCTACAAAAATTTGTCCTGTGAATTCATGCATTTTATTTATTTATTCACCCCTTTTTTTAGCCAGAGTTTTGAGTAATTAAGAAATAGACTTTCCTGCATCTTTAATTTGCTCCATTTAGACTGAAGGGTGACATGACGAGTTAACTGACTGAAGGCACTTACGTTGTTTTTCTGATCGTCTCTCAGAGGACGGACTTAAATGATGCAAGCACTTTCCATGTGTTGTAATAGCTGGAAATACATGGAACTGTGTCCTTTTACTGACTTTGAAGATCAACTTAGATTTACCCTTTTTATTTTTTGGAGGAGAACACTAATTAAATTAAAGCAAAAGGAAGGGGAGTGGAAGATAAAGAAAGCATCTTACCTGCTGGTTAACGGGGAAGTTCCTGTTAATCTTCTTCACCTGTTAAGTTTAACAAGAGAATCAGCAACTTGTTTAATCATCTCTTATTAAAATCAGACATCATTTGAAAAAGTAACTGTGTTTACATGAGCCTGCAAACGACACATAAGCATAAATTACAGTCTAACACAGAAACGAAGCTGGACTGTTGGAGCCGCTTCATTTATTCTGAGCATGTACATTTCAAAATAAGAGAGTCATTCCCACAAGGACATGAGGCTCTTCCTTAAAAAAATAATTTAAAAGAAAATCCATTTTCTTGGTAGTAATAAAAGCAGCAGAACAACCGAGAGAGCAGTCAGGCTTCAAATTAAAGCATTCTGCTAAGATCACAGGTATCACTTGCACCTAATCCACACCACGCCATCGATATTACTTCCTTTTCAGAGCGCCAAATTGAGACGTCCGTTCCCGACACTGCAATGTTGTGAAATATCGTTGAAGTTTAGGACCACAGAGAGGAAACCCGATGTTTTTATTTCAGCAGAGAAAACTGTGAAGGCAAAAGCCAGATAACTGTCAGAATGTGAGCTGGGTGTGAATCTGGGAGCTGTGGCAAGAGCTCACACACTGCTGTGGCCTGTTTAGACTGCAGGTTTTGTGCCGTTTTAACACAAATCAGGAGAGGCTCACGCAGGTGCAGGTTCACACTTCCAGAATACATTATCCACCTTTCACTGCTTCTAAAAATACAAACAGGATAACGTCGACCTGAGGGCTCAGCTCTCTGCTAGTAAACTCTGCAAGGTTGAAACTACTTTACAAGAAACTCAACCAATATTTTTTTTATTAATTAGTAAGATTAAATTATTGAAGAAATCCCCTAAAACACAGTGAAACACTTTGCATCAACCTTGATAGGAATGCACAGATTTGTGTACTCAATTGTATATTTTCAGGCTAAAACTTCTTGTCCAAGAAGCATTGAAGTGGTTTCTGTCCTACATCCAAGTCTGATGCAGGTGATGATATGAGCATCCAGATCCCCAGGGTAAACATGTTTACTCAGAGATCCTAGGATTAAAACATAAGTGACGTGGACAAGCCTCCTGAATATTTAACGCCCCTCAAAACTCTCAGCTTCTTTGAAATGTCACTAGAAACTCTAATATTTACCCTAAATTGACATTTAAATGCAAAATTATGTATAATTTTGCTGTAAAATAATTATTTATTGTTTTTATTTAAAAAATGTTGATTTTCTATCATTTAAAAGCATCTTATTTATTTATTTAAATCAAAGAATTTGACTTGTTGTGTGAAACAAGCCCATACAAATACAATTTCCTTGAATTGTACAAGCTTTGTCAACATCACTAAAATAGAAAATGTATACAGAATTTTACAACAGAAAGTCACATCTTTAACAAGTTAAAAGATAAATGCATAGTTAAGTTAACATTTGTGGAAAAAAGTCAGTCTCTTTATACCCAGAAGTCAGAAAAACTAGTTTTAATAATTTATTGTGTTTTATTAAGAGGAACTTTTATTTTAAAATTAAAATAACAGTACAGTTGAAAGAAAATCCTCTTTTCTTTTAAATGAAATGCATAAGTTTGGGATAAGAGATGCTCTGATTTATTTTTCAAACACAATTTTGTCTAAATCCAACATATCTCATAATAACATAAATGTGAATATTATATTTACCAGGCAAAAAGAGTATTTGGAAGATTGATTTAAGGAAAAAAAAGTAGGTTTTTTTTTGTTTTTGCTATTTAGAAAATTATAATCCCATTTACAGTCTGGCAGATAATATCTGGCAGCTACCGATTGTGCAAGTTGTCCCACGTAAAAACATGAGACGCCTGTCATTTTCATCATAGACTTCAACTGTGAGAGACAAAATGTGAAATAAATCCGGAAAATCTGATTGCACAATTGTTAAATAATTTTCCATCATTCTGTGTTTCGGGTTGTGATTCTGCATGTCTTGGGTTAGACGTATTCCCCAGACCATGACACGATGAACGTGCCAAGCTAGCACAAGGTTGGTGATATGATGGGGTTGCAACCTTAGCTTTAGGCCAGCATGGCCAGCCCTGCATGATGGTCCTCATGGGCCCTATGTGTTCCACCACTCCACCCAGTGAAAAATAAAGGGAAATCTATATGATTAATATTAGTTTTTGACTTCCCCACTATAGAGCTCCGGGAGTTGACATCACTTCTCCCGGCATGCAACAGTTCAAATCGAAACGGCGCCATCTTGGCAGGTAGAAGCCGGCAGCACAACTATTTGTTATTGTCAGAAAACTCAATCAGACAGGAAATATGGTAGATTCCTGTTGTGCCCCAGGATGCAGAACAGACGCGGACGACATAAGGAATGAGCCATTTACAGGATTCCCCAAGATCCGGAGCACCGCAAACGTTGGATGATTGTAATAAAACGCACTAGTGACCGGGCTAAAATGAAACTGTGGGATCCCGAGAGTAAAGGTTTTTGCTTATGCAGCGACCACTTCATATCAGGTACTTAAACCGACGTTTCCTCAACTGTGTATGGTATTTATTTTAAATGCTTTTATTACAATTCTTAGTGGGCTTCCTAAACTTATTTTGGCGTGGCTTTTTCTGTCTTATTACTCATAGCAACAAGTAAACATCACGTAAAATGTTGCCTCGTGAGTTCTGCGTGCTGCCGTT